TCCAACCTTAATGATTCTGTGATTCTCCTATTTCTCCTATTTCCTTGTAACATGCAAATTGGGTCTATGGGTATTTCATTTAGCAGCATGGTATCTAAGCATTCCTTCCTTTTTCGCACAAAAACGTGCGCAGCACATAAGTTGACACAGAGTTGTATTTGTCGTTTCAGTTAGAAAATCCAGAAAAAGCTGGCAAGAAGGACTGAAAACTACTGCTGATAAAAGAACAGCAGGGACAGCTGGAATGAAAATGTATTCAGGCCCATAACCTGATCTTGGGATTGCATGTATTCCTTAAGTAATCTTCACTGTTTCCTTTCCTATACCACCTTCTATTAACTGCAGTTAAGAGGTCTTCCACGTCACAAATCTCAGGACTTAGATCATTTCAGTAAATCACCTGACTGGACACCTCAAATCTACTGCTAAAGGTCTTGCCCACGAGATCATGGATCAGTGCTCAAATTGCAGTTCTGAATGCTCTTAACTTTGTCACAGGCTTATTCCAAGAATTGAACAGCAAATTCACAGTATTTATTCCTGAAATCTGTTAGAAGTAAGGCAACATCCTCTATGCATTTCCAGCAATGGTGGCCCACTCTGGCAGAAAATGCTCTCTCTCCTGTAGAGTGGTAGGCAGCTTACAGTAAGGAGCTTGTGCAGCAGAAAATGAAGATTTGGGGCTGAATTTACAATAGGTATAAGCAAGCATAGCCACAAGTATTTCAAATGTGTGTGCACTTTCATGTACACTACAGTTCAGAAAAACAATTATTGTTGTTTTCTTACCGTAATGGCTGCTTTAAAGTTTTCCAGTTCCTTCTCAGCATTCTCTTCAGTAAGATTTCTCTCTCTCTCTGCTTGGTTAATTCTAGATTCCAAGGTATAGCTATCATTTCTAAAGGCCAAGGAAAGTTGTACAAATACATTCTGTTTGGATTAAAAAAGGCATTTTGAAATAAGCATCACAGTAATGTAATTCCCAGTAAAAACTTATGAATACAGTATGTTTAACAAACTTTGGTGCTTAAATAAGTATTGAAACAGAAAATTGAAAATATTTTTAAAATTAGATTGTTTAAAAAAATCACTTCGTTTTACTTCCTCTAAAATATGAATAAATGTGTTGCTGCCTCTTTTCCTGAGTGTTTTTCTGGGAGATCAGTAGAGCAGAAGGAAGTAGCCTACCAGAAGTATTAGAATCACAATGGATCTGTTTTCTAGCTGGACTTCCTCCAAGAGTCCCCAAGGTTTTTAAACAGATAGTCTGTCCAAAGGAAGTCCAGGGATGAGCTCACCATTAGCATTGTTTTACCTAAGGGATAAACACCTACCACTGAAGCCAGCAAAAGATTAAGTGCTAACGTTTTTATTCTCTTGCACCCTGCTTTTAAAGATTGTTTTTTTCTTTACTAGATGCATTATTTCTTAGGATTAATACTTTGCAAAGCACAAGGCACCAACAGTTCCATTAGATTGGAGCTATGTAAATAAAGATCTTTTTCTTGATTGAATGTAGAAAAAAAAGAAGAAACAAAGCCAGCAAGCTAAAGAGCAACCTATAAAAAAAATTATTAGCTTGAACCGAAAAAGTAAGAATTATGTAAACTAACTGCAAGATATCACAAAAAAACTGCCCCAAAGCTCCTATTGGCCAATAGAAAAATGCAGTTTACTTTCTGGTCTCATCTAATCTCAATTTTTTTACTACTTTAAGTATATTATAATAATTTCCAAAATGAATGCATATTTTATTACGAAGAATGCACAAACAAGTGTTTTGCTTATTCCTACTCTAAGTCTTTTTACAGTTTATATTGCTTGCATGAATTGCCCATATTTCATAAAATTGTTATTTTGATTGAGCTCAATATGGTTTTTTAATGAGAAATATTTTTTGGAAAAAAAAATCCCATTACCTGGTTCTAATAACCACCCTCAGACTTACAGTAAGCACTTAAAATTGACTCATGTCTAAAATAATGAGTTTAAAAACATACTTACCTCAACTTCTTTTTCAGTAAGTGGAGGGGAGCTTGAAATAAAAGCAAAAAATGCACATTTTAATTAGTTTTGTCTCTAAAAACAAAGCTATTGTAATATTTAATCGAAAAGAACAACAAAAGACATCCTCCCCTTAAATATTTTACGGTTTCTTTTGGTGAAATCACTATTTAATTAATTCAATTGTACTTGTTATGGCTAAACCCCATGTGTTTTTTTAAAAGCAACAGCACAGTATCACCTGAGTATTGGCAAAAACATACCAAAGTTTCTGGCAACTGCAAATACTGCTATCTGTACTACGTTGTGATAAATTGCAACTACAAGAGCAAGACAGACATTACCCTTTTGGAGTTGCAGGTGACTTAATACGCTATACTTCAGATAATTATCTTTACCCGTTTTCCTTCTCTTAACAATTGAAACCTCATGATGATGATCACATATAATCACAGATGGGCAGAATTCAAAACCCAGCTCACTGTATACTGAACTATCCTGTTTTGGCTGCTAACTTTGTTAGAAGTTAGCTAACAATGTTTCTGACACTGATAAAAATATATGTTTGAGTTTTATGAGTTTTCCACCACAAGAATGATTACTGACTATACAAAAACTAGAAAAAGTTACCAAAATGCAGTTTCATAGAATACTATAAAAGAAATGAGATAGACAACATTATATTGCAAGATCTCACTTAAAGGCAGTCATCCCATGTGTTTGAATTTACAGGTTCTTATTCCCTGTCAGTGTTCCAAAACATCAGAGAGCTATTCAGTTTTATGCAAGTGAACAGAGACAAGAAACACCTGAAAGAAATGACAGGAGTTGTAAATACAAATTCTAGTGGATCCCAGTGATAGGAGTTGTGGTTGACATACCTATCATGCGCTGTGCAGACATGATACTTTCAGAAAATTCAAATATTATTGTAATATTCATTGTACCATTAATCCCAAGTATAGAAATCAATGCATCTGGTACCAATGAACAGCAGACTTTTCTTATTGGGTAGAATAATATTCATAATTAGAGTAGCGACTAGAAGAAGGGAGGCCAGTATGTCCCCTGTGTTGGAAAACCATTTTGTGCGTAAAGTATTAGTATTCATATTACTTATTGTTATTCTAGGAGGAAGCCTACTAGGAGGAGTAGTCCTTCTAGAAGGAAGTTCAAGCATCTGTATGTGTTATATAACACAGCACAGAATGATAAAATTTGTGTCTTTGGCTGGGAACGTTCTGAGAAATTTATAGTAAGAATGAAAAGTTATCTGTGTATTTATTCAATAGATTAAGCCAACTGGTTAAAGAATATTACCTGCAAAACAGAAGATCTGCATATTATCTGATCCTCAAAGCCAGTTCAGCATTTACCTATTTTGTACTTAGCTATGAAATTACTTTTCTTTTCAATATTTGATTACAATCAAGCAATGGTCTCTTAGAACTTCTTCACCTCATGCATTCATTTATATAAAATGTTGTATATAGCAGTTCCTTCACAACAAATGTTAAATATTTATTTCATCTGCACAGAGAACGCTTATTGACTGCTTCAAATGATTGAAGGCCTCTGGTATTTATAGTATAAAAACACATGGATGAATTTAGGAATAGTTTTGGCCAAATATATTTGGAATTGTTTTAATGTCTAATAAGCATTTTTTTGTTATGGTTTTATTTCTCTCAAAGAAAAGGCTTATGCAGAAATATGGAAGAAGCTTAGCTTTATTCTAATGCAATACAAAATAAAATATGCTCAGTCTCTAAAGTTATCAGTGGTGCAAGGTATGCAAGGCATGTGGTGATAAATGCTTCATTTGAGCTTTCTTCCCTATATTTCTTAGGCCAGAGCAAAATATTTTCTGACGTTATGGACTTTGGTATCATTTTAAAAATAAACCTCCCCCCAAAAAGGAAAATTCCACTTAAATTCTGTCAAGAAAATGTTAAGTTTGGATAGTAATAAACTCAAATCAGAACGAAAATAAGTGTTTCTAAAGGTCTGGATAAACACTTGGCAGCTATAGTCTGTTATGACTCCACCTCGGAAGAGTATGGGCCAGAGGATTCCCTTGCTATAGTTACATTGCATTATGCAACAATAGCTCTGGTTTCAAATGATCTCTTGTATGGTGCTATCCTACACATCTATAACATGGAGACATACTGTTTCAGATTGCTTAAGAGGGAAAGGAGAAACTCCTGAGCCATGGCAGGTGTTAAGCAACCTGTTGATAACTGCCTACTTGCACAGCCCAATATCACAGAATTCGCAAGCGAGTCCTTCAACTACATTTGCAAAATAAACTCCATTTCCCTGAAAAATCGTCACCTGCAGAAAAACTGCAGAATTCTTACATGCCCAAATTTTACCATTGGAAAGCATTATCTGGCCTGATTGTTCTTCTGGGGGAAAGAAATACCAACATTTTCAACATGAATTTATATCTCAGCAGCAATCCTGTAAACCAGGAGCGGACAGACCGGTAGAAAAATCTATATAAAAACATACTTGTAGCATGCAAGTTAGGTTTCAGACTTTTTATGTAGAACTTACAAACTAATTTTAAAAGTTGGCCAGTTACTGGAAGTCAGTGCACTCCCCAAAATTTTTCAGAAAATATGTGTTGCACATTTTAAGATGCAGCAATCTGTCTACTTATATGGATCCCCTATGAATGGAACTCCATAAAGGGAGTTCACTGGAAACTGTTAGTGTGCCTTCCCCTGGATGATGTCTTTCTATTTCTAATGAGCTTTTACCTTCCCGGAAGCGATTTGTGCACTCGTAGTTTTCGCAGCAATACATCAGGAATGCTGGGCATGACATCAGAGCTATTCTTTGTCTCTTCCTCTTCAGTGGGGGAGGGGAGAGGTGAAGGGCCTAAAGATATTTTCAGATAAAAAACTTTTATGTTATTTGAAAAGTCATGCATTAACTATTAATAGTCAGCATCTCAGAGCCGAATAGGACCTTTTAGCCTAACTGTGTCCTTTTTAAAGTCAATGAGGATTTCACCCCAACTCTACTGGGAGCAAAAGTGAACCTACAAGAAAAGGTCCATCCCTTTGTTCAGGATGTTACTTCCTTTATTGCATATGGTGATACATCACTCATCTCTCCTTTACTGCTAAAGTAAAGATCCTCTGTCTTCCTTTCAAGCAGTGGCAACAAAAGTAATCAGTACAACTGTCATCCTTTTTGTAGAAAGACTGAAGTAATATGCACTCTGACAGTCTCTAGTGCACTGAAAAATAATTATTGTATTAGTATTTTTCCTAGAATTCAAACTGAACCCAGATTCATTACTAGAACATCTAACCTAACATTTTGCATTTGTGCTTTACCAGTACAGTTACATCATTTCTGGAATATTTTAGCTTAGATTTTGTAATAGAGTACTGTTATTTTCTAAGGCTTTAAATGACACCTGCCAAGATGAAGTCTAGTATAATGTACTATACTACAGATTTTGTGCACCATTTATGGTGATGAATCTACAACATGTACTTGTTTGCATTGCATGTTCATTGAAACAAGACATAAAGGTTATAATTGCATTCTCTACTTCTGTCACTTACATAAGGACCAAGATATGGCTTATACTTTTTTTTTAAATTCATATTACTTAACTTTTTTATTTTTGTTTTATTTAATGTCATATATAATAATTCCCTTCTCTCCTTCTATCTTGCCAGAATTTAATGAAGGACTCTCCTATAGGAAAGTCAGGTTCCTCAGACTTGGGAAGATATCTTTGTACAGCTCTCCTGTTCATTTGACATAACAGAAAGATTCTTAGACTTGCAAAACAAATAGTGTGAAAAAGCTCAAATTCTGTAAATGTGGAGAGCATTAACATGAAAGACAGAAGAGAATGGGAGATTCTTTCTAGCTACATTTTAGTTCCGTGCATTTCCTTTATATTTAAAAAATCCAGTATTTACTTAAGAGCAGTCATGTGTGCCCCCATAAAAAGCCAGCCTGACATTACAATGTCTCCAGATCTAATATATCCCACTTATCTGAACTTCTGTATATGCAAAGTTGTGTTTACTAAGATGATCACAATAACTTGGCATCGATAGCAAAACATGATGGAGCCAGTATATTTGATTCATAAGAGTAATAATGAAGTAGCTGGCTATTTCCTATTGTTTAAGCAAAATTACTACCCCAGTTAAAAAGCACGAGGTGGCTTTTATGACAATGTAAGGAAGTCTCCCTAACAAATGAACTAAGTGACCCCTCACTTGTTTTCCCCACTGAAGACAAGGAGTTGACCCTTAATGTTCTGGCTATCATTTAGATAAGTTAGTAGACTTTAAAAAGCTCATGGTGCTCATGAGATCTTGGTTGAAAAGCTGAATAAAATAATGCTTAGCTTTTCATAATGTTTTCCTCAAAAGTTTCAAATCTGCCAAAATTATGTAACAGGCTGGTAAAATGGCAACTATTTTACACTTTCAAACAGAGCCTGCTAAATAATTTCTGGGAAATTATATATTAGCAGAGTGACAGGAATAATATTACCATATCTAAGAATCCAAGGATATAATCACTAAATACAGAAAGGACAAGAAGTCTCTTTTAATTTTGTTTCATTCAGACTGAAGATGATAGAGAGATCCAGAGATAACATGAAATGTAATATCTCAGCCATCTCCCTGTATAACAGAAACTTCAAAGCATTATGAAACAGTCCCAAAGGAAATCTATGAATTAGCAAAATGAACAGTATTAGGAAAAATGGAAATTGTCTTTGGATCAAATCTTGGACAATCAGTTTCAGATCCTTTCATATTAACCATCTCTATTTCAGTTCATGTGGCCTTAAAAACACTCTGAACAAGTTCTGACTTAACTACTTCCAAACAGATACACTGTTTTGGTTTAAATATTTTCAACTGATTGCTCAGCACTACTGCTATTTAGTTCTTCCAGTTGTGGAATTGTCCTCAAGATTATATGTTTGCTCTTTATTTCTATTCTGAATCTTTTTAGATGCAGCCTACAGGCATCAGATCTCATTTGCTTGTGTTAGATTGGAAAAACCATTTGGTGCCAGATTTCTGTTTCCTCATTTATGCAGAGTTTAAGCCTTTTCCGTATTAAAAATCATACAAATTGAGCTAAAAAAACCCCACTTATTGTAAGGCATATTTTTCCAATCTTTCAATCATATTTATGTCTCTTCTCTGGCCTTACTCTTACTTATCCACATTGATGTAGAGCTGTGGACCAGAAGTGAACATGCCATTCCAATATTTGCCAACATATACTAAAATAAAAAAGCAGGAATAAAGCATTCCATCTCTTATTTATACTTTCAAGGATCAAATTCACGCTTATAGCCACAATATCCTGCAGAGGTCACATCCATTCAATCCATCACTGCTGAAACTTTTTTTCAGAAAGTCACTGCAACTTGGGTGTCAGACAGTCCTCCATCTATTAAGTACAAGCTAGATTCTGTTGAGGTATGCATCTTTTCATTTGGTTGTAATAATACCTACAGTATCTTCTTTGCTCAGATCATCAAGAAATTCAGGTACTTCAATTATTGGTCTCTCTTACTGATTATTTACTACCCTCCTCCATGACTGCTTCATTACAACTACTATTGCAGTTGAAGACAGACTTTTTTTTCCCCTCCATATTAGTCAATTATAAAAATCAGTTTATAACAAACAAACACTCCTTCCAGCTTTTATGATACTGCACCTTTTTCCTGTTCAGCTGCTTCACTAAGTTCAGGAAGTTTAAGTCCAACTAAATTTTGATTTCTCATCAAAATATGCTCCTGTTAAGAAAAACAGTAACATTTCTAAGTAACTTAACTAGAAATCTCAATTTAAATATCCCTGCCATGTGCACACTAAATATAACATTCACTTTAGTTAATAAACATAATGGAGATATTTATATTAAATTATAGTTAGATGCTACATTGCATGGATACATGTACACACACACTCTTAAATATTACATATTTCAAATTTCATACATGCATTATTTAGACTGAGATTTACAACATGTGCCCCTTACTCAAGTAGAAAAACTGAGTTTTGGTAAATGACAGTTTTAGTAAATGAGAGCAAAAAAAGTAATTTTGGATATAGCCATAGTAATAAGTAAGTATCCCAGAAAGCAGAGAAAATTCAGAAAATCAAATATATGAGACTTTACCACTTTGATTTATTAAGTAGGATTTATTCACACTGAAGCTTGGTATGCTACAGCTGCAAGTTAATACTTCATTGTTACTGTACTCTGCCCCTATTCCTTACAGGTAGGGAAGAATGTACTCTCAAGGATTAAACCTTGTTATCTTATTTCTCCTTCTATCATCTCCTCATTTTCTACTTTCATATTCTCAAATATGTTTAAAATTCACAAACACCTGCTTTTGTTTATAAGCCGACAATTCCTACTGGAGACAGAATTCAAATCTCACCTAACTGGAATTATATATCATGTAGTATTAATTTTCTGACTCTAACTACTATTTGTGCTTAACAACTTCTAGGACTTTCAGAATTATATGGCTTAAGTGTGTCTATAATCAAAACTTCCAGTACATTTATGCTAAGAATGTGTGTTACATAAACAGGAAAAGATTAATAACTAAGCTGCCATTCTCAAGTAATACAATGGGAATTAAATAACCAAAGTGCAGAATTTGAGGTCCTCACCTGTCAGCCCTGTGTTCATCTTAAAATACTAACTACTGGAGGTCAAAGAAAATACTCTTATTAGGCTGTTAAGGAAAGTAACTACTACATTTTTTTTTTCTTTCAAAGGTCATTTTTGCTATACACACGTGGTAGTTCTTTATGATGGTGGTTTATCATTTCATGACATTTTTACTTTTTTCAATACACTGGTTAATTCTTAGGGTTTAATCCTTAATTTTTACCAATCATGTAGACAATTATTTAACAACGGATTAGTTTATAGATTTCGTAGTTCAAGTCTATCCTTCAAGAAGCTGACACATTTGCACCATGTTAGAATTAGGACCTGTAGGTTTGGCCTTCCTCTCAGAGGCACCCAGTTTTAAAGCTCTGGACACTTTGAGATATTTTCTGAGAATGTTCAATAAGCAAAAAATCATACCAAAACAATTTCCTGTCCCCTGAGATCTTGCAAATGTAATGTAACTGCAAAGGCTAGTATTCTTGAATGACAGGACTACTGCCCTTAGAAGGGAGAATACCAACCAATACAGGACTCAAAACCACTCAGTTGAACAAAGTCAAAGTGATTTTTAAATCCAAAGAAAGTTTACAAACAGTATATGACACAGAGGCTTGTAAGCCCTCAAACAAGAGTATATTAACCGTCTCCAAACTTCAGTTAAAGATTTCTGTGTATATGCAGGTCTCAGTCCACTCATACAGAAATCAGTCAATTAGTCAATATATTGTGAGAGCCTGTGGATCTGAGGACAATTCCGAAGAAGCAGAAAAAGCATAGCACAGGGAAGCAAAGGAAGTAAAAGAGCATAAGTGACCCTCTTAAAGAGAATGTTGTTACATCCTGAGGAAGTAAAGATTCTAAAATTCTCTTTAGAAATTAAATAGATCATTTTAGTCACAAGCACATTTTACAAATGACATGATTGTTAATCAGCTGCTTCCTGTTTATAGGTCATGTAAACAATGCAAAAATGAGATATATTGTGTTTTAGACTACCTTTCTGTCACAATGAAAGCAGTTAGTACTTTTTTGACACAAGTATTACAATTTTTTTCTGGGGGCCAAAACTTGCATGTGCAAGACCATATGCATATTTGCATATTGAAGAGACCACAGTGCAGTTGATGCATATTTGAAGAGAACTAAGATATAGAATAATTCCACGGAATTTAGTTACAGGTTACAATTTACTAAAGTTGCAAAGGAAAAACATGATACAATTTTGTATTGATTTTGCTGAAACTGTTTCCCATTATATTACTGTATGTTTCTTGCAATGACAAAAACAATGCTAAGCGAGTTGCAAGTTTAGTAAGATATGAAAATAACTTTAAAACAGGATACAACTGATGACTAGGACTCACCTCTCTGAGCTTTGTCAATTTCTGCATTCGAACCGGTTGAACTTGGATTTGAAGGTCTTTGAATGCTTTTAATTGATTGCTGGATTTATTACCAACAACAAAGCTTTTATCTTCCTCAAATGGTAATTTTAAAGGTGTTTTATCTTTCTGTCCAGGCTCCAAGCTATCCCATGATACAGCCCGTAGTAGAGGAGGACGCAGTCCACAGAGTTTAAATTCTGGTTTACATGATACTTTATGGTCCCTCATTTCTGGAACAGGAATTTTTAGCTTTGAGTCTGTATTTCCTATGCCTGGTCCTGGTAGATGGGTTCTTAAAGGAACATCATTTTCTTTTGCTTTCTTCAGGAATGATTTTCCAAGTTCATTTTCACAAACATTCATGCAAGTGTTAAGAGACATTCTGCCACCATCACCACCTGAAGGGGAGCATTTAGGTAAAGTATCCATGTATTTACGTGGATCAAAATTTTCTTTTTGTTCTGAGAGCTTCTCTTTGGAGTTTTCAATACCAGCAGAACGAGGAACCAACCTTCCCTGAGAAATCTTTCTTTGATCATTCTGCCTTCGATCAATTAATCCTTTTGCAGCATTCTGAAATAGAGGGACACGCATAAAACAGACAACAAGTGCAGATTTCTCTCTTCCCCTGCCCAAGGACAGATTTTCACTGTAAAAAGCCATTTCCTTTTCAGTGACATTTGCTTTTAAACATGTGCTGTTGACAAGAGAAATAATTTTTAAAAGGCACTTGAAAGAACACTGAATTGGGAATCTCTTTTCTGAACTTTTGAGATAACCTCCTCCCATTCCAGAGTCCATTATAGCAATCCTCACATAGCCAAGGTTCTCATCATCTTAATGTAAGGTTTGTCTGAGTATATGCCTTTAACCCTGTATCTTATAGCACTGTTACTTTCCTTTGATTGTTTTCTGTAAGTCCCTCACCTCCCAAGGGAAAAAAACATGGGCTTGTACACTAAGTTAAAGTACATATTGTAATATCTCTCTTCTTACTTTGTGTGCAGTACCATAGATTATAATTTGGCTGCAATCTCTACAGGAGAACTGGCAAAAGAATGTTTGCCTATACCTTGGCTCCTTTGGTACAGAATCTGTATTTTGTCTAAGGGCATCTGTGTCAGCAATTTAAGGCAATCTAACCGTGGGCTCTGCCTTAGATATGTTGCTACTCCTCTCCTTTATAGTTACTGCTCCAAAATTCTGCTGCCATACTGGTTTTTGTAAGTATTGCCTAATTCACTCACAGCAAAATCTCTTTAAAGGGCCATCTGATATTACCTAAAACACATCAGGAAGCATTCATATAAACTGCTCCACCGATAGTTGTGTGGAGCCGTAACATCCCATCAGTGGTGCGGAACACAAGATACAGTAACCTCTTCCACTGAACCAAAAGCGTCTGGAAGAGGATGTCTGTCTGAAACACCAGCATACACCAAAGTGGCTATAGGAGATATTTTTACTTTACTTATAAAGGTATTTAGTACATTGATTTTAATTGAGCTAGAGCAGGGTGCATGGTAGGATGTAAAGGCTAGCTGTAAGCCCATTGTCCTCCACTACATTTGCAGGTGCTTCACAATTTCTTAGAGCAGTATCATTTTTCTTTTCACTCAGTGAACAGTCTTTTAGCCTTTTTAGTCACATAAGTAAGTCATATGTGTGCTAAGACAAACAGGCAGATTTTGTTCAACACCTAATGTGAAACACTTACCTCTGCAGTTTGCCTGTCATCCTCTTTCACAGTTCTGTTATTCTAGCAAAAAAGGAAGAAAAAAGTTGCCTTACAAAGTTATCATCTTTCACATCTATGTTGCAAATGTTAGAGATAGATATTAATGGATGAACTTTGAATCTCTTAATTTTTACACTGCTTGTCACATTTATTTATGAAGTGATTTTAGAGATTAGCTTTTTCCATAGATTAGGATTATATTGGATCGTTTTCCATTTTCTACACTTAACAGATCTCTATGATCCTTCAGCGCTTGTTACCTCATGGTTTTTTGTCTTCAGAGTAAACATTGATTAGTCCCTCACTCTGCAGAAAAAAACATATCAATAATCCAATCTTGGAATATAAAATGGTATTCAAAACATCCCATTTTCCTCAGGGACTAACAGGACAGCATAATGTAATATAGTACTGTAATAACCAGGTTACTGTGCAGACTCTTCAGCTCTTTCTTACCTGCCCTGGAGATACTGACTCGACACTAGTGGCTGTGCATGCATCAGACCCTAGAAAGACACACACATAATTAGGGCATATCCTGATGTTTTGCTCAAAATTTTTACTACTACAGCGTTAGCAAACACATACATGCACCGTTCCATGTAATATATTAAGGACAAAATTTAAATGTGGAAAATACTATTTAAAAAGGGAAAAAAAAAAGTAAAATATAGTAAGTGAAAGATCATTAAAGCTTCTCAAAACTTTTTGTTTCAACATTACTGAAAAGAGTAAAAAAATAGAACATGTAACCTAGCAGCAGGGATAAAAATATAATACAAAAATATAATTTAAAAAAAAAAGTAAAAATATATATTGTGGGCATTCACGAGCTTTGTCATATTCAGAAGGAGATGCTTGAATCTACAGATTTTGACTTCTCCTCGAGAAGTATTAAAAAATACATTTTTGGTGAACTTTAACTTATAAAAGTTTGAGCCTGAATAAATAGCTGATGGAACTGGAAGAGTGAGAGAGAGAGTTGCTCCGAGATGCTACTGGTGAAACTTTAGGACTAAGTGTAGGGGAAACTGCTTCATTAAAACAAAGACAAAACAAAAAACAGGTAATTTTACTTTCTAGGCTTGCAGCTTCTGAATTTTTAAAATTCAGATGAGATTAAGACATGAATCTCATAGTCATTAGTCATGTGTTTGTCCAGAACCTGACAAGTCATTTTAATTGCCAAGTTGTACTTGGCAATTAGGAACTTAGAGTAGGTTTTATCTCGTATACGTGCCATAAACTAATACAATTCTGTTGATACACAGAATCCTTATTCTCCTGAGTTTTCTGATACTGTAAGCACTGCGGATAAGTAGACACAAGAGAAGGATTCACAAGGAAAAAAAAAAAAAAAGAAAAATTTAATTTTAAAAAGTATAGTTGTTTTTTTCCGTCAGAAAGCATCAAGCCAATTTTAAGATAGAACTTTGTTTTGAATTGGCATTTCAAAGCTAAATGAAAGTCCTACTTTTCAAACACTTCATATGAGGGGGAAAAAACAATTTCAATTGACGTTCTAGAACAAAACATTTCATTCTGCTTTTTTTAAAGGAGAATCTGGTCCATTTAGCTAAGTTTATGACTGTGTTCAGAATAAAAGTCTGGGTAGTTCTGTCTGGGGGGAATGTTTTTTCAGCAGTATGAATCTTGCCATTAAAATTTCATTTTATGTACAATAGAAACTTTAGGAAGAAAATCTTCACAAACAGAAATTTGTGACCATTTTTTAGATTCCAACAGAAATACTTCATGCTTTCCTATTACAGTGTTTGCAGTGTGTCATTCAGGCACTTAAAAACTTTACACCATCTTCCACTGTTACATCTGAATATAGAGATTGATCATTTCATTCATAAAATTCCGTTTTATACGGAATTGTGAGGAGGGGCAGAGGGATTCTGACCTTCAAATTAACAAAGTGTTTGTATACAGTAGCAATGTATGCATTACAGTAGATGTTTGTTTGTGCCTTTGCAGATCTTCGAAGCAGAATATAAAATCTTGTTTTCAGAATCTGTACCTACCTGTGGGTGACTCTGGAAGGCTGCTTCTTGACTTTCTGCCTCTGCGCATTAGAAACCTCTCGCTCGCTTTCTTTGCTTCTTCTAGTAATTCAAGGTTCTTCTTTTTGTCTTCCTCTGATATTTTGACATCTGGTAGTTGATCATTTACCAGATCAATCACATGACCGCTGTTGTCTGGGTAGAAAAAGTCAGAATTAGAGCTGTACCTCATAGATACATTGTAGCATTTCAGAGTAACAAGTATAAAATATATCTATAAATTTAGCTTTGAGCTTGCATTTAACAAACATTAATGTCTGCTTATTTCTAATGTTGTTATATTCTCAAATTTAGAGCAAGTCCTCAAAAACACAGATAACCCACTAAGATTAAGTCACTATGCTCTGATACGTGAAACTGGCTTTTCCGGCTGTGTCCCCAATACAGTTTTTCTAATTTATCAGTAAAAGTGGCATTAGATCCATCTCAACTAGCAGTCACAGCATTTCTGTCTACAGACAGTTTTTCCATGGATTTTGTATGTCCAGTTTTTCAAGGCTAAGGTCCCACAAAGTCCCGTGGCAAAGATTTATGCAAACTAGTTTTAACATACAGATGATTCCATCAAATAATCTATAAAATGAAATGCAGAGTTTGGAACTATAAAGATTTTATTCTATGCAGATAGAAGAGCTTTTCCCACACATGCAGAAGCAACAGTAAAGCTGCATCTGGCAAAGCTGCAGGCAGAAGTTGAATAGCTAAAGCCTGAGAATTATAAAGCTATTTCAAAAAGCAAATCACTCTCTACCATGTGGTGGACCTGCAAGAATTTTCCAAAGGAATTGCAAATCCCATTAGAATATCTAATAGTTAAAGAAGGCATTGTTAGAGATTGCTTTTCCTCATGCCCACTTATGTTGATATGTTAGATATGTGACCCAGGAGAATGCATGGACCACAAACTGAAAGCCACTGCCTTACACTTAGACCTTTAGATTAATGCATTGTTTCCTAAACAATTTTTAATTAATTGTAGAAAGAACCCATTAATCCCTGTCTTCCAAATTGGTCAAAACCACTAAACTTTGAGCACTAATTTTTACAGTTCTCCAGGCTATGATTAAGCAAAGAATGTAGCCTGTTGTCGGAAAGGCCCTTTCTGTGTGAGTTGGTATGAATGGTTTCTATAAGCATCTAGGCTGTATGGAGAAACAGTTACCTGAAAACAGGCCAAAGAAAGGAAACATATATGCTGACAAGGTAGTGTGTGCAAGTTTTTCATGGGTTGATAAACTCTACAGACTTGTAAGCTTGTTGGATCTGCAAGAACTGATAAATAGATCACCAAGAGTCTGCTCAATCTGTACAAGGCCACTGACACACACTAGCATCAACAACAGACTGCAAGTCAGACATTTATTCTCAGGAAACTATGAGAAAATTTGTGACTGTGTGAGTGAACTAACTATATGAGTGAATAAGTGACTGTTGTGTGAAGAGTTATCTGGTATTAATAACAACTTGATCACATTAACAACAGCTTAGTGAATAAAATGTGTTCTAAGAAGTATCAGTTGTGACTGTCTCTCTCGCCAGCTTGATGCCTCTATTAGGGAAGAGGCAATTTATAACACTGTTTTGCAATAAGAACAACTTACTAAAGAACAGCTTGGGTGAGGGGGAGGAAAGTCATCAGGTAATACGAGAAAAATATTTTTAAATTTGACAAGAGCCATTACAGAACAATTAGTCTTCAGAAAAGCTAAGAACATAAGTAAGCAGCAAAAACTCAAGGGGTTTTGGTTTGTGGTTGTGGGGTTGGTTGGTTATTGGGGTTTTTTTGGGGGTGGGGAGAGGGGGGGTTGTTTTTAATTTCCATAAATTTAGTTCAATTTCAAGGCTGTCAAAAAGCATGCCCACAGTTTGGATATTCTTAAAGCAATCTATTCTTAATGAAATATCTGTTTTGTTTTACACTAAGATTTGTGTGTTGAAAGTTTGAGAGAAAGACCTCCCATGGCACTTTCCTTGGGCCAGCAAAAGAGGAGAGCTGCAAGGCATGGTTATTTCTATCTTCCTTGAGCAGATAAGTTTTCCTCACTATACTCAACATCTCTGCCTTTTTATATTTGCTTTGCCTTCTGCCTCTTCACCACTTCCATTTCCCTTCCCCTTTGCTGCCATTTCCTCTTTTCCCATGAATTCCCTTTAGTATCTCCTGCTGCGTCCCATCTCAGCACCTGCTTACAAATGACAAGTGTTCAAAGAATCACTTGTTGACTATTTCAGGTCTACGAGTTTATGACCATGAAGGCAAGACAGACCTCCAACAGGAGACATTTTGCAACAGGTTTAATTAGAAAATGCCTTACTTAGAAAAGCAACATCTTAGAATCATAGGGTAATTCAGGTTGGAAAGGACTATTGGAGGTCATCTAGTCCAACCTGTTCAAAGCAGAATGAGTGGTGAAATCAGACCAGGTTGCTGGCCTTTCAAGACAATCTGGTCTTGAAAAACCTCTAAGGATGGGGATGCAAAACCTCTCTGGGAAGATCGTTCTAATGCTTGACTCTACAGTGAGTGAAAAGTTCTTTATACCCGCTTAGAGCTTCACTGGTTTCAAATTACGTCCATTGCCTCTTGTTGTCCTGCCATGGGCCTGGATCCATTTTCTTGATAATTTTTCTCATTGGTATTGAAAAGCTGTATTAGGTTTCTCCTAAAGCCGTGTCTTCTCCAGCCTAAATTAGGCCAGCTCCTTCAGCCTGCCCTCACAGGGCAAGTGTTTCAGCCCCTGGACCATCTTTGTGGCCCTCCATTGGACTCACTCCCATTTATCAACACCCTTCTTTTATTGGAGGTCCCAAAACCAGATGCAGTTTTCTAGATGCAGTCTAATGAGTGCTAAGTAAAAGGGAATGAATACTTTTCTTGATCTACTGGCTAAGCTTCTATGAGTACAGTCCATGACATTGTTAGCCCTCTTCACTGCAAGGGCGCACTGCTGGTTCATGTTCAACGTGCTGTCTACAAAGGCCTCCAGGCCTTTTTCAGCAGAGCGGCTTTCCAGCAAGCCAATCCCCAGCCTGTACCTACTGCAAGGGGTTATTCTTTCCCATATATAGGACTCTGAATTTGTCTTTGCTGAATTTCATAAGGTTCCTACTGGCTCATTCCTCCAGCACGTCTAGGTCTCTCTGAATTGCAGCACTGCCCTCAAGCATATATTAATTAAACTCCCGCAATTTGATTTCATCTGCTAATTTGATGAGAGTGCACTCCCCATCCTCCTCCAGGTCATTGATAAAGATGGAAAGCACAACTCATTTTCTTGAGTGGGTTCCAAGACACAGCCAAAGGCCAGCCACAACAGCTGGAATAGAAAGCAGGTTTGAAGCAAAGCTCTGTCTTCAGCAGAATGACATCTGGAAAGGTTTGTTTCTTTTAGAGAACCCTCTCCCTTTGCTAACGTCTAGGCAGCATGACCAACCAACCAGTCACTACCCTCAGAGCCAAAGTATCCAACCAATATTTTACCTGTCCAGTTGTCCACCCATCCAGATCGTAAAGTCCTAATTTGGATACCATATTTAGGGGGAAGGCTGGGGGGGAAGGGAGGAGCTCTTGCTACTGCATCTCTGAATATGGAGGGATAATCATTCTTCTGTATAAGTCTGATTTCATAAGTTCATAGTTCCATAAATTTATTTAGTTTCCACAAGTTTAGTTACCTCTAAAATCAATTGCTGGCAAGCAGGATAGATTTCAAATGTTCCAAGTTCTCTTAAGTGGATCTGAACTGATTTATATGGATCTTATTTCCATCTTAGTTTAATAGGACATATAAAGGAAGTTTCTCTTTGAATGCAAGCAGCCAAAAAACCCCATTTTACTCGTGAATTTAAAGGACCAATTACAAAACTGGAGCAAATGCACAAGAAGTCACAACTCTTTGAAGCCTCCTAACAATCTTTCGGTGGGCTTTCTCTTAACTACGTTTTTATAGGCATACTGATACAACTGAGTACCCAGTTACGAAAGTGTCAGAATCACAAACTAGTAAGGATTAGTTCTGACTGTTACTGATATGAATAGTTAGCACCTTCTCTCTCCATGGCTGAGAAGCGAACTCTAATACAACAGTGGAAATACTACTTACTTAAAATATTTAAGAAAAAGGCAATGTTAAGGATGTTCTGCTAGATTTAAAAATCTCCCATTCTCTATTTGTGTGAATCTAGCCCAGCATCTCAGGTGTATAAAATTATTATTGTATTTTTGTCATGTCACAAATATTAAATTAATTCCAGCAAACTAACGCTCATAAATCCACAAAAAGGGAATGAAATGTGTAATAATACATTAAATTCTGTCTGAAAGGGTTCTGGCCTCTCTGTTTTGACCGCCGGAAAGAAAAAAAATAAGGTATATACACTGTTAATAGCAGAGTGAGTTTGGGTTACTTTCAGAAGTACCAATTAATTTTTTATCTCATGCAATACCTCCTATATAAGAGAAAGTAGAAATGTACCTATAATTTAGGGAAAATAGTCTTAGCTGTAGCCATTTTTCAACCCTAGGGATGCATGATCTACTATCAGCACCAGATCAGTACTTCTTACAAGAAATATTTGCTGAGACTGCCAGGAATCACTTCACTATTGGAAAATTCAGAAATGTTCCATGAACCCCCATGCCTATGTTCAATATATTGATCAAGAACAATCCCACACATCTTAGTTTCTCAATAAAAACACATAAAGAGGACTTATTAATCAGAGTCTTTAATAGAATCTCAATTACTAAAAGCAACCTGAGTTGATAAAACAGAATTTTTATTCTGAATATTTTGAGTATCAGAGAGGTAGCAGGGCTCTGATGTTTGCTGGTGCCTTAGTAATGAAAAAAATAGATACAGATGCGTCTGTTTCAAGATGCCAAAGAACTACGTTCCTTAGTGATACTAGAAAGGTGCTTCCCCTTTAAAAGCCTCTGGGACTATTGGAATAGTCACCTGATAAGCTTGGTTTTAAGTCTGTCACAAAACCAGTATTTTTTTTAAGCTATGCAACGATCACACAAGTCCATGATTTTACAAAAAACTGTTTTCATGCACAGCATAAAGCAGTGATAATTGGCTCAAATTAAGTTAATGGCTGGGAGAAAGTAACATTGTAAAGATAAAAATAATTTTTAAAATTTATTCTAAATTTCTGATTCCTCCCCTCATCCCCCCATTTTGGTAGGAGGTCTCATATGCTTATTCCTTCATCCTTTACATGCAATAGTATAAACATTCTATCAACTTTGTTCAACTTTTACTTTTAAACGGAGACAAGTGACAATCCAAATGCAAACATACCAAGACTAAGAACTCATGGGAGCTTTGCCACTGACTTAACAGGATGAGCATTTATCTCAGTTCATAGTACTCACAAATCTGCATTCACATCATTAGTCCCCTTGAATAACAATTTACTCCACAGGTAGCTACCGGAAAACTAATAGAACTAATTATGTAGTAAGAGACTAATTAGAAAGTGAAGAAATGAAGAAAATCTTCCCCTGGATAGCTTTTTTTTATTTCAAATTTAATCTGATATGATAGCCAAACTAAATAACTTGGGACTTAAGTGTCTGTTAAGCTCCTTGCTAAAAAACATTCCAGTTGTTCAAAAGTAATAAAAACAGTATTATTGAACAGTATTTTGCGTACAACAAGAATTTTAAGCATGTATCTCCAGCCTTCTAAAAATGTTAAGCTAACACACCAATCTAACAACTTTATGAAACTAATAATATGCATATTTCCCTGGATCTGTCTGCATGCAATCCACTTACGATCATAAACATTATGATCACAATTCAACATGCTAGCAGTATTCCCTGTGCATGCATTACAGAGAGTATGCACAGGAAAAAAGCTGTATTCAGTACAGTCAGGCTCTATATTTAGGTCTTTATTGCATGTCACATTTTCTGAGAAAACATCCTAGCTTAAATGAATAATCACTTCTTACCAACAGAAGTCAATGAACATGTTGGATTCCTAGTGGCACGGTTAGAATGTCTCCTATGAGGACTACGAGGCCTAGAGAGAAAAATGAACAAACAAAAATGATGGGAGTATGCCACCAAAAAAAAAGTTCTACTTCTCTATAAAAATTTAACATTAAAAAGAAAGCACTTTTCTTTGATTAAAATAATGAAAACTAAAAGTTTTTATTGCAATTCCTCTCATCTCCAAACAACTGGAAAATGGAGGAAGATTGCAGAAAGAAGGAAGATTACAGAAATTGCTCTCACAAAGGAGTTCTGACATTTGCTGATAACCTCATACACTGTGAACTTTTGATTTCTTAGAAAAACTACATTTCTTTAGTTCATTATCATGACTTAAAACTCATATAAATATGGTACATTGCAAAAAAAAAAAAAAATTAATCTTTGTAAATTGTTAGTGCTTCCTAAACTAAGTTTTATGACTGAAATAATTTCTTAGGCTCCCACATTGACACTCCCATATAGCAATACGGGAACTTTCTCGATTGAAAACCAGGTGAAAGTCTCAAATGACTGCAGAAAATTAAACACTGATCCAGCAAAGAATGCTGCTTATAAAGGGCTGCATTGCAATTCTGACTCTTAAATAATCTTAACGTTTGGAGAAGTACACTTTAAAAATACAAGCAAATTATAGTATAGATTTATGATCAATACTTTCTGATTAATTTTTTCTCATATTTTAAGTCTAGTGGCAGGTCAATAAATTAAAAATCCCAGGTCAAGAAGTATGCTTTATCAGAAGACTGAAAATAACCTTAATTCAACTCAAAATTGAATTGAAGTTTTCAACTTCAAACAGGATTATTATTTCCATTCAACAGCTTACTTTCACATACGCTTAACCTCAAGATGGTATTCTTGCCCTGTCTACCTGAACGGGTCCAAACATCTGCTTCAAAACTCACTGTACTATAGTATTCAAGCTAGACATTTAAGTTGTCCAACTGTCTAGCTTAGAAACATTATCTACTTGAATTCTCAACTGATTGATACCTATTTTATTTCACAAGATCAGGAATGTGGTCCTATCCCAGTTCCCAGGTGCCACAGAAGTTTCTTTTGCAGCTTCACCAAAACAGTAAGGAGGACTGAAGGGATACAAGGAAGGAAGGGAAAGAATAGAGCTGGAAAAGAAGCCTACACTTGTTGCACCTGTTTTTTAGATAGAAAAAAAAGTCCAGTAACTCAATTTCCACTGCTTTCAACTCAGGACTTTAAAAGAACTGAGCATATCTTAATTGGCTTTAGAAGAAAATTTTTAAAGATGCTGGCTAATAATATCATATTATTCTAATATCTCAGAAAATATCTTATTAAACAAAGTTAGCCAGCAATGCCAGACTACCAACAATTTTTGTAAGAAAACAAACAACATACAATAACAGTAGCTTCACCAGCATCACCTTAAGTTATATAAAACAGTATGTGTTTTAAGTCAATACCAAGATAATATGCACAAGACTGGAAGGTAGATTTATTCTGAAAGATATATGTAATATGCTAAACCTGTCGAAAGAAGATAAGAAGTATTTTCAGCAGTTCATAAAACTATAGAATGCTAAGTATAAAAAAAAAAAAATACTAAAAAATACTTGCAAAAGCTATTATTAAAAATGCAAAGTATTTTTATGATCATAAGCCTTCCTTGGAAATTTTCTGCCTTCACAAATAAGCCTTATTATACAAACTGTCAAACATTGCAAGTCCATCTTTTGCCAAAAACCTTCCTCCTTCATTAAAACACACTTTAGTAATTTAAAGATCATACAGATGGATTGATTTTAAGAACAACATAGTTTGTTGCTGCATTTTCCTTTCAATAGACAAAACAATTACAACAGATTGCAAATATTCTTGCTACAATGTCTATTTTTCAGCATGATACTAAGAATATTGTAATAAGATGGTAATATAGCTAGTTCTTTAATTCAAGAAGGGAACAGACAACACAGGCTTTGTACATAAGATACACTCATTTGCGAGAGTCAACACTGATGGCTGAGCGTACCTTAAGGAACTTACATCTTTAATATTTAAAAAACAGTGATTTTTTTTTTAAGTCTTACAAGGATTAATTTCTTAACTCTACGTCAGTCTACAAAGTTCTTATTGGTTCAGTGGAAATATTTATATGATTAAAGGCAGCACTACTGGTGTACGTATATAATTAGTAGACCAGAATTAGGGATTTAGCTACTGAATTGAAAAACTTCGGGGGGAGGGGGGGGGAATACTTCAGGAAACACAAAAATGCTCAATTGTACTTTTTTTGGTCTCAGTTGCTCATTGACTGGGTATAAGTAAAGGTTAAAATTTGGATAGAAGGATAGTATTGCACCTTGACATGCACAGAACACGAGGAATCCAACTGTCAGTCATCCTTGTAGTAGGTGTAGGATTGTAGCGCACACATGCACACCACTGTATGTCTACAAAAGGATTTGACCAAGCAATTTTTTTCCTCACCAGGCCATATTTTATTTGCTAGCAAGAAGATGGACTTCAAAAGTTACAGCTTTTAGTCCAAATTATGCAAAACTTTAATTTACATTTTTGTTTTAGTTTCAAATTATGCTATTTTGAAAGATAAGAAAGTTCATGTAAATTTAAACCATACTGAGTCAGGTTGGCAGGCTTAGTATTCTATGAAACTCTACTCTTTTAGTATCAGTTATATTCCTGTCCCTACCCCCTTCCCTGCATCCAAAAAATCATCATCAAAATGCAAAGACAATATGATCAAATTACAAATAAAGATACAGCAATAATATTTTAATACAATATAAATTTCAAAGCAGTATTTTAGAAACACAGCTCCTGGAATTACTGTACAATTTATGCATAGATTGGTAATGTATTATATAGTACCTGTTAACCAGATTTTTATCAATTTCTACATCTGGCGTAACAGCATTCTCTGGAAGAACAATAGAAGGTGTACTGCATGTTGTCCCTTCAACAGTTGTGTCCTGAATGGTTTGTGACAAATATAAAAATGTAGTTAAACAGAAATTCAAAACACTGAAGATTGTCGCTCTTTGTGGAAAATAATGTGTATTGCTCAATTTAGCTAAAAGAGAAGATGCCTGAACTAAGTGAGAATTAGCTCTTATTTGATAAAAAAAATGTGAATTGGAAGGCTTTATTTAAATTGCTAAAAAGAGATGATGGAGACCTGGAATATTTGTTTTCTTTACAAATTTTTAATGCATGCAAGCTAAATTCAATAGGCATGGAACTAATGAGAAAGCTTTAAAATGGTAGACAAACTGATTTTTCACACAGCAAACCATTCCTCTACTGAAGTACATGTACAACACTTAGTGAACTCATGAGCTGAATGCAAGAGCGAAAAGCAGCTATGTATAACAGGGCTAAAGTAGGCACACAAAACCTCCAAACGGTACTAGTGTGCAATGAAAGCTTGAATAAATGCAGTATTAAGTGTACACATGCTATCCAAAAAAACAGAAAATAATTACGAGGTTATCTTGTTAATGTTCTACTTGGTTTTCTCTCCCATTAATTGGAAAAATATTTTTTTAAACTTATAACTGCAATATTTAATAAAATACAATATAATTTTTAAGTGACAAAAGAAACTGGCACTAAATATCAATGTATGCTTGCCTTCTTAAAAAATATGAGAACTTGTCCCGAGAACTTACTCCCATACCTTCTACCACAATGATGCCAATCAGCTGAAGAGAAGGAATCTGTTTCCTGTGAGATATCCCAAATGGAGATACATCAAGTTGGAATAAAGAACCGTGGATTTCTCATATGTGGTCAAAAAATTATGACTTCTACCCCATGTACTACATTCATATTAACACACACACACACAAAAAAAAAAAAAAAAAATTTCAACCCCTGTACTGTTGAAAGGCTACATAAGCAATCGGGTGTTTACAATCAGTCAAGAAGTTCAAAGAAGTGATTCACATAAAATCATGCACAGGGGGGAAAGTGTAGGCACCTGTTAGAAGTTGCAATTTTTATTTTAGAGTACAATCATGAGATAAGTAGAACATATCATAGCAGTATGAGCATTTATAGCTGGAGGGAAAACTTCCCAAAAGTGGCAGGGGACTGCCATCAATCAACCTGTAAAATTTAAAGAATAATTTGTAAATTCTTAAATCCTAATTGCTTCTGCTAGGCACTAGTATGTACAAGTATTTTATTTTAGTTATTTGAAGTCTAAATTTTTCTTGAAACTACATCCCAAAATTTCGTAAGAAATTTTTACTTCAGTTGGCATTGGATTAGAGAATAGAATAGAATAGAATGGAATAGAATAGAATATTTTCAGTTGGAAGGGACCTACAATGATCATCTAGTCCAACTGCCTGACCACTTCAGGGCTGACCAAAAGTTAAAGCATGTTATTAAGGGCATTGTTCAAATGCCTTTTAAACACGGATAGGCTTGGGGCATTGACCACCTCTCTAGGAAGTGCTGCTTCTGAATTTTCTAAAAGAGCATGTTTGCTATCCATGGCACAAAGCCAATTACATTGAACTGTTATAAACATAATTTTGCTTTTACTGAAATAGCATTTGCTGTCAATTTTGCTTACTCCTTTTAAAAATGTTTACCTACTAGAGGTTGACACAAGTGTAATGAATTCAGAATAACATTTATTTTAGTAATATTCATTAAATAGGCAGGTAATAAAACGCTGTTATAAAAGTACTAATTTAGGCATTTACAGAATGAAGCATGTAATAGCTGACAGTTTAACAAGTCAACATTCTAGGAAAGAGAAAATTAAATAATTTCAATTGTTTGAAACAAAGCCCATCAATGAATAATTCTTTCAGTTGTCTATTGTCATGTGGAGCAATGAGCATAGTCATAAGGTTTGTTACAACAAACAAGTAGTCGAGTATAAATTGAAATGGAATTACATATATCCAGAAAGCTAACAGTTACATGACTGCTAATATCTATCAGATACAATAGAACTCCTTTCAACATCTCTCCCAGTGCTGCAATTTATTCTTCTTAAAATAATGTATTTTCTGATTAATTCAAAGAACTCTAGAAGCATTTTGAAAATGGTATAATATAAAGTATATAGCATAACCCTTCTTCCTCTCAAAGGAGGGAATAAATATGCTTTGGTTTGGACATCTGATTTAGGATTCTTGATTCTGCTGTAAACAGCTTTTTTTTTTTTTTACTAAAATAAATACATTCTATGCAGCTCCACACTTCTATACTCATAATTCTCACATGATATTCCTCGGCAAGTTCATATTGTCAGTCACAGGAGAGCAGGATGGGAAACATGCAAAGAAAATAATAGGAAGATTTAAGTTTAAGAAAAATATCCTTGTAATATTGGAAATGTTCGAATGTAAAAGCATGATATATTATGTGATTCAAGTGCACAACTGACATTGTATGATAATAGGTTGAAAGCAATTTTTAGTAGTATTCTTGAAAATGTTACTAAGTAACAATGTATTTTGTTTAACAGTCAATAACAAAAATTCAGGTGACTGCCCTGCTTGTAGGGCAAAGCAGCTCAGTACACATGCACATTGTTTATACTAATCTCATGACTGCCAAAGAGCAAAAGCTTTTGAATGACGTAATATCAGCCTTAAAGTCACTCAAGTCCATTTTAGGACTCTAAAAACTGCTCATTAAAAAGAAAAAGAAAAAGAAAAAGGCTGTAGCCAAGGCTAGTTCAGGTCAAGTAGAATACATTAATCTTGGTCAGCAGCTATAACAGTACAACTCCTACGCAGATGAAAATTCATGCCGCCTATTGTCCAAACCTATTGTACATTTGCATAGGAGAGGGGCATGAAGAGGTAGAGCATGAAGCTCTTTGCAGGGCCAGCTGGCTTGAATCAAAAGAAATCAGGCTGCTATATGCAGATCCTGGAAGAGAAGCTTTAACAGGAAGCTTAAGCTGTCTCACAGTTGTATATCTGCACAAAGATGATACAGAAGTTTTCCATCACGCTCCCATTGCCTGCCTGTAACTGCCCTCTTCGTGTTAGCTTCCAGAAAAGTCTGCTCTTCAGCTATTCCTAACAGCTGCCTCATCTCCTAGTACCAGTGACTGCCTGCTACCAAGTCTTTGCTTCCTTTTTGTTTCAAGCCCTCCTCCCATAAAAATGTAGGGTAAAACTGACTCGACCTCTATGGCTCAGGTGGGAACAGATCCACATGCTCTACAAGGATGATCATGTGCCATCTAGTCTTGCACGGAGGCTTGTGCAGGGCTGAGAGAATGGCACGTGCGGTTTGGTACATAACAGAAGATCCAAGAGGCTCAGGGATACTCAGGGTGGATAGGATCTGCAGACAATCTGGCTGTTAAGCTCTACGAAGCCCTCACTAAGCATGCAGAAAATACATTTTTAGAAGTTTTATAATCCTGCCAAATTTGGATGGATTTGAACAGTAATGGGGGGTGGTGGAAATCTCTGCTAAAAGAGCTACTCTGCCAGGACAGTCAGATGATAAAGCTTTACTGTATACCACCTGAATTCTTTAAAGCATTGGGGAAAAAAAATCCTCTGCCACCTGGCCATGTTCTTAGAAATTAATTAAAGTTCTGGACTGAATTTCAGAACAAATTTGGCCTGAAACAGACACTTATGTGAAAGGCCTCAGAAAAGTTATGCATCTCAGAGAGGAGTCTTTTGAGTGAGATGGGGTTTTAAATAAGCTTAATTTTAGATGTTTAAGTGAAGTGCTGAGCTTAGAGTTTAGCAAGTAAGGTAATGATATTCAATTGTAACTGCATCTAGTTCAAACAGACAGGATAACAAAGTAAACATGAGACATCTTCAGAACAAAACAGATAATATGCAGTGATTTGATAAAAGTACAATACAAATTTAAACAGGAATAATAAAAAAGAGAAATGCAGAAGCTTGAATGATGGAATAATCAGTGTATGAGAAACATTATGAACATCTGAGACAGACTTTTCCTCAGCAGTCAGAAGAGCCAGTGAAATAGTGTTTGGCATACAAAGAGAGGAGAAAGCTGGAAACAGAAATAGGGATTTTTGATTTAAAAAGAGGGAAGGATGGCAGCTCACTAACCCTGAAAGTTTAGGGAGATTTATAGGCCACTATAAATCTTAACATAACTGGTAAGGATCTAATTTTGTTTGCTGCAGGTACATGTTACATGTATAGAAATTACATTTTTAATACTAAAAACCTGAAATCAGTTTTTAAGGGTATAAGTGAAAGCATATTATAATATTACATTATTCTATGTGAAACAAATCTAATTAAAATATGGAAATGCCTAAAAATGACATCTGACTATGAAGTTCTATGATTTATGGTGGAAGAAATGATTCTGTATAAAACATTTCTGAAGTGTTCAATAGTTACTGTAACAAGACAGCACACAAACTAAGAGTTCAACTACATACTCGTATGAATACTTTGATGAATGTTGTTTAGAGTTAATCAGAATGGTGAACATAGGCTGCTGTAAGAAATACTGAAATGGAAAACCATATTTGTTTTCTCAAAATGAATTTGAGAAATATAACCCAGGTCTTCCCATCATGTAAAAAATACTTAAGTAAGCAAGAAACTACATGTGCTGTAAGGTTCGTTTTCTTTTTCTCAGAACTGTTTTGTGAAATGTGTGTGCATTTGTGCATGCAGGGAAAAAGTGGGGAAGCATCTCCTGAAACAGAATGAGGAAATTGTTAGACACCAGACAGCACTTTAGATGAGATTCCAGACTTGGAAAGTTTGTTCAATGGCAGAAAACAAGTCCACCAGTTGTTAGTTCCTTCTGTCTGTTCCTTCCTTCTCTTTGCTTGCAAGTCCTTATCTCACAACGATAAGCTATTTTACTTATTACATAGTCATGCCATAGAACTTGGACTGCAGCAAGACCCAAGAGTGATAACAGGTATGAATAAGATCAAATCCTCACAACATTGGCTAGTTACAATCCTTAACTTAAGTAGGCTCATGAGCAGTGTGTCGGTTAAAATCCTTCCACTGTTACTTTATGCCTAAAAATAACAATTTATCTAAAAGAAAGCGTTTTGCACAGTTAACGGATTCATGAATTATCACATTACCATAGTTGATTTAAGACCTACCTCTAAAAGGCCGGTATAATGTATTAAAAAATTATTTTAAAATTTTTTTTTTTAGATTAGGTGGTTGGAATTCTTCATTTCTCCCATTTGACAAGCACGCTCAGGATTAGATTCATTGATGTCTGTTAGCTTTTCATATTTTTTTCTCTTTGGGTATGTTTTACCCAGAAAGTCTTTTGTACTAAAATACTCGTCACATGGTGAGTTAAAAAAAAAAAAAAAAAGTCTTCTTGACCTAATATATGTTCTCAGCTAATACTGTAATGAACTTACATCCATCTGGGGTGTTTATCTTAAGCCAGGAAACTAACACTCAGCACTATGTGCAATTTAGATGGAATGCATGACAAATCAGTGTAGGGCTTACTGCTGACAATATTTTCCAACAATGTTAAAGTAGCGGATGTTTTCACCTACAGTGTAGAATACAGTGTCCTCAAATCCAGTGACAGTGATACATTTTTAACTGAGGATGTGCCAGATTATAAATCCTCTCTTTCTTTACACCAGTTTGCATAAAACAGGATGATCTGCATAACCTGTGATTTTGTAATCAGAGTAAGGCTCTTTACTTCAGCTAAGCTAACAATTCAAAAAAACCTCCACTTTATTAGAACATAAAATTACTGTTTATCAGCGGTATAAACAATTCAAAAGGAAGAATTATCATCTCTTATTGATTTTTTTAATTTATCTGCAAATAAAACATGTAAAACATGCAGATGCCACAAATTTGAGTAGCAAAATGATGAATATGTCTGGGGAGCACCTACCTGCTCTCTGTATAGTTCCAGTATGTGTTCAGCTACTGCTGTGGCAAATAAAGCACTGAGAAAGACTACAAACCAAAAAGCAGATTTCCATCTTTCACACACACATGAATTGCATAGCATCTTCTATATTTATAAAGGCAACACTAGATGTTTCAAGACTACTGTGAAGTACAAGCCTAAGTTCTTTTCTCAAAGGTTAAAGTTTTCTGTAATAACACCACAAAGGACATTTTTTGACAGCTTTGATATACATGGTTCAGAACAGACAAGACATATAAGCCTCCAGATCAAATTGATAAACAAATGCTTGAGCAATTTCAGTTCTCATTCCTTAGTCTATAAAATATTTGAAGAATTCTAAGAATATCAACTAAAAGATCATTCATAGCTTCATCAATTAATCAAAACAAACTAATACATAGCAATGATTAGTTTTTATTTTATAAACTCTAAATACACACAAACAGGTTTCAGCCTTACGTTTCCAACAAGTGCTAGAAAACACCTTTGTAAGAGTGCTTACTTTGGCTGGAGGAGAACTATTGTGTTGTGCCTCTTTTGATTGTCCCTTGTCTTCAGGTAAGGTTGGCATGGTGGACAGTGTGAAGCACGTGGACCATGCACTGCTGAGAATATCTGTTTCAAGTTATCCTGAAGGCATAAGCGCTGAGAGGCCTTGTGATCCGCAGGCTGTGTAAGATGCCAAAAATACAAATCACATCTGTTTAAAACTCTATGCTCTAACACTGAGATCACTTTACAATAACAAACAGCATTAAGGTTTAAAATTAAAAATGTTATCTTGTGTTTTATCAACTAAAGCTTTCAATGTCAAGTATAACTTAGTAAATGCATTCAAAACAGACAACCTTCCGTTCTTGTTGCTATTTCCATCTCTTCCCTCCATTTTACAGGGGTTTTTTTCATTACTATGATTGTTCTGGCTGTGACCAAACTACCCTCTCTAAAAATCCTGGAAGAAGGCAACAGCATCCTGGATATCCGTAATATGCCTTTTAGTAACTAACAAAATCCTAATGCTACAGAGTGTGATCTCAGATCTCAAAGGAAGGAGTAAAACTGGAAAACCAGATGGTGGCACTCTTCCTTTGAGCAAGAGCAAGGCCTAGGTGCATTGTGCACACCTGGTGTACATCTGCACAAGACAACATTGTGGAAGACACTTCCGAAGCAAAACAGCATTAATGCCCAAATGGGAAAAAAAAAAAAACCCCACAAACCCACTGCCTATTAGGTGAGAAAATTCTTGTTATTAGTATCAGCGGAAGCTACTGCCTTCACAAGTATATTATTAGCATTAAAGCCTGTACAGTAGTCTGAAGGTGAGAAAAGTTAAGTACTAATCCTTATAGCTACAATGTATGTTTTACAAGACTTACTATGACACCTACTGGATAGTTAAGGAACAGTCCTCATAAATAAATCATTCAACTCTTTGGTGGTGCCTACAGATGACAGACAATGCAGTTATCAGAGACGTCTGGTACACAGTTTCTGTCTGGACTCGTAAGAGCTAACTATATTCCCTTTACAGTTAATTCACAGCTGTGTATAGAATGGAGCTATACACTCAAACAGTAATATAACAACTTCAATAGTGTGCCAAGGAGATAAATATACCCAACAAGCATAGGTTCAACCTCCAAAACATGTTACCTTCTCCCAAACCTGAACTACTAATCTCATCTCAATTCTTTTATTCTCCTAGAAATCAAGATAGGTGGAACAAAGAGGTTGAGATGGGGAGATGATTTATCTTATATTTACATAAGATAAATATTTA